TCCCCAGGGGCCATCAGCCACAGGTCATCTCATTAGCCTAGAAAAGGATACTCATCACTTCCCAGATTCCAAGGGTTGAGCCTCTATCAAGAACTGGGGACTAAGACCAAAAATCATAACCAAAGATGTTTCAATCCCCTCTATCATTCAGGGAATTATGGGGGAGTTTTAGGAACCCTGTGCCAGGTACTGGGGGCCAAATACATATTTCTTACTATATCACAATACCCCAACCACATTAAATGGACAGAGGTGGGGTGGAGAGTTGTGGGTTACAGGCATTCAAGCCATTGACATGGGACTCAAGGTAGCTGGCAGGCAAAGAAGCATCTGGCCCCACCCCTGGAGAGTAGCAACAACTAGGGAAGGGTGTCGAGCCCCGGTGAATGTCCTGAGGTTGAGCTAACATCTGGTTCCAGCCCCCGCCTCTAGAATCACAAATAGAAAAGAGACAGAAGCCCAGGCCCAGGCCAAGCCGGTAGGATCAGACTAGAGTCATTTGTAACAGTTCATTTCTTCATAGGGTCTTTGTTCTGACCAGGGTCCACTCTGAGCACAGTGATAACACTGGTTAAACCTCTCAGTTCTACTCTGTCTTCTACCCCTTCCCTGCCTTTCTTAGATGCCCTTGACCTGCTGGCTTTATTCCTTCCTCCTGCAACCCAAATGGGATCTCTCGAAAGATTCTGTGGCTAATGCATTTTAACACCTTTAACATATGGGCCAAATCCCCCAGGGTGGAATTTTGGCAGCAGTGTAAAGAGGTATTATTCTGAAACTTCAGATTAAATATTCTTTCAGTGAATCTTGCCACAAATCTTTATTAACACTTATTAGGTCTTGTATAAACAAACATCGTCTGCCATAGCATAACCCTACGCTGCTGTAATAGAAATTACAACGCATCATACACGAGGCTTCATCTTCATCAGACTTTAGTCTTGTAAAGAAGATACATGAGAGATTAGAGGGAGGGAAGGTTACTTTAAACAGGTAAATCAAGGGAAAGGAAAGAAGGAGGTACCACCGAAATGTGTCCTTAAAAATGAGAAAAGGTTTTACACGTTTAGATATGGGAGAAAGGATATTTTCAAACCATAACAGCATGAGGTAAGTCATGTAAAAGAGCACCTGACAGGTGTGTCCTGGGAAGAGCAATTACCTTGAACACAGTCTATGAAAAGAAATGGGGAACTATTTTTTCCCACTCCCAGTCTTTTGTGACTTAGGGGTGCACAGTTGTGAATTCTCAAGACACGCAGTGGTATGTTGCTGATGCAACATATTTTCCCTTGGACACCGACGTATATATTTAAATTTTCTGAAGAAAATTCTAAATTCTCCTGATGACTTTGGTTGTAAGTTTATTGCTCAGGGATCAACGATATACTCAATATATAGAACTGGGGTCCTTATAAGAAGAGATTTGGACATACACAGATCCATCACGGACTTGCAAGCACAGAGGAAGAGTCATGTGAGGACACAGAAGGATGTGGCCATCTGCAACCCAAGGAGAGATGCCTCAGAAAATTCCAAATCTCCCTGCAACTTGACCTTGAACTTTGGAACTGTGAGGAAATAAATTTCTGTTGTTTAAACCACCGTTTCGTTGTATTTTGCGATGGCAGCTTTAGCAAAGAGTGGATATGTAAAATGTGCTCAAGGTTTTTGAAAACTTAGTATGAAAAAAGAACACAAAATATTTTATTAATATATTTTCCATTGATTATATATTTGATAATATATGGATATTTGAGATTAAACAAAATAGATCATGAAAATTGCTCTCACTTGCTTTTTAAAAAATGTTTATTTTGAGAGCGCGCGCGCGAGAGAGAAAGAGAGTGTCTGTGTGTGGTGGGATGGGGCAGAGAGTGAGGGAGAGAATCCTAAGCAGGCTCCATGCTGTCATCACAGAGCCTGATATGAGGCTCGAACTCACCAACCGTGAGATCATGACCTGAGCTGAAATCAAGAGGCAGGTGTTTAACTGACTTGACTGAGCCATCCAGGTGCCCCAAACCTGCTTTTTTTTTTTTTTAATGTGTCTACTAGAAAATTTCAAATTACATATGTGCTTTGCCTTAGATTTGTTGGACAGCATAGCACTAAATGTTTAAAGGAATTTTTTGAGTGGTGAGAACCTCTTGCATGTTCTCTTCTTCATGCTTAGGATTTGGGATTGGGTGGATTCTAAAATTCTTCTCCTGGCAGCAGAGCAGAAAATGGTACCGACAACCCAAAGGGCAGCCTCATCACCAGTGAAACACTAGAGGACAGCACAGCTTCCTGGAGTTCTCTCATTTGAGCAAATCCACACAGCAACAGTGACCAGTGGAAGAACTAGGGGTGGTGAGATTGAGATGTGTGTTTTAAAAAAAATTTTTTTTTACGTTTATTTATTTTTGAGAGACAGAGAGAGACAGAGCATGAGCAGGGGAGGGGCAGAGAGAAAGGGAGACACAGAATCTGAAGCAGGCCCCAGGCTGTGAGCTGGCAGCACAGAGCCTGATGGGGGGCTCGAACTCATGGACCATGAGATCATGACCTGAGCCAGACTCTGAGGCTTAACCAACCGAGCCACCCAGGCACCCCAAGACGTGCGTTTTAAAGCGGGGGTGGGATGCAGATACAGGCTGAGAACTCTACTATCACCTCCTCCACTCTGGATCCTACATGAGTGAACAGGGGAGGGCAGAAAGAGAGGGAAACAGAATCTAAAGCAGGCTCCAGGCTGTCAGCACAGGCACCAATGTGGGGCTGGAACCCAGGAACCAGAAGATCATGACCTGAGTCAAAGCCGGATGCTTAACTGACTGAGCCACCTGGACACCCCCAGTGATTTTTTTTTTTTTTAAAGTTCATTTCAACTAATACATTTTGAGTACCTATTGAGGTTTGGACACTGCACTCAGGAAGTACAAAGAGGTAAAAGACTTAGCCTCTGTCCAATATAATGGCTGAATCCAGATTTCTAAAAGTAGAGGCACTTTCTAAGGTGAGACAACAGATTGGTATCAGACTTTATCCATAACCTTTCACTGAAAGGCAAAATCTCTCATCTTTCTCAAGAGACCATCTGATTTTGATCACAGTTTTCACTTTCAAAGAATGAGAGACTTTGCTGTGACTGAAGTACAACTGTGAATACTCAGAAGCACTGCTCCTTTAGAAAAAAACGGTCTTTACTTTCAAAACTCACCTGAGATTTGAGAACTGAGAACAACGCTCCTCTCTTGTTTATCTCACACCCCAAAACCACAGGAACAGGGGAAGCTGAGCACGCGAATACTTGTCTGAAAACTGCTATTTCCCTTTATCTTACCTCTTGAGCAAATCTGATGGCTGGGTCCAGGAGCCCATGAGTCTTCTTCCTTGGCTTAGATTTAATTGCTTTTTAATTGGCTCGCATCCACGTTTTTCAGATTCTGGCTTAACTTACTGTGTTAGATGGGATGGATTGGAGTGGGTTCTGGGAAAGTAAATCCATGGAACCTGGGTAGTTTTTGTCTTGTATCACAGACTGGAGACAGTAGAGAAGGTAGAGTTCAGGCATGTGCTGTCCTGGGAAAAGAAGAAATGGAAAAAAAAAAAAAGTGGCCCATATACAGAGAACTATATAACTTATCATCCAAGCAAGAACACTTTCTTTTAAGTTTGTTTATTTTGAGAGATAGTGAGACTGGAGGGGGAGGTCAGAGGGGGAGGGAGGGACAGTGAGAGGGAGAGAGAGAGTGCTGGGCTGGATCTCAGGAACTGGGAGATCATGACCTGAACTGAGATCAAGAGGCGGACCCTTGAACCACTGAGACCCTCAGGCGCCCGAAGCCAAATACTTTTGAGGGTGAAAGGGGCACTATTAACATTTATGTTAGAACAACAGACATAAGCTAGGATTGTTCTTGGTAAACCAAAATAGACCTACAGCTGTTTTAAGAGAAACAGCAAGCACAGCCATCATGCATTGAGAAAGGAGAGATGGCCGAATGGCCTGACAACTGCATCTTTCGGACGGCACAGAGAGAGATTTTTCCTCCTAGTATAATTGTGATCATGAAACTTAGGTTTGTAGTTAAGGGGAAAAACAATCTGACTCCAAATAGGACCCTGAAGATAAAGGCTCACATGTCTTACAGTCTTTGGGTCTTCTCTCTGCCATTTTGGGGTCCCTAGGGCTTGTGTAGATACCGAAAAACTACTCCACGGGTCTACAAAAGGGAGATTTTGGGATCAGAAATGCTTTCTCTGCAGCCACTCAGTCTCTTCGATTTGCTCAGATACCAAGAAAATCAGAAAATCTCAGACTGATGCTGAATGGGCAGAATCCCAGGACAACTCACAGCTTCCTACCAACGTAGGGTTATCTGCGTGGAACCACGTCAATGGGCTACGTAAGGTAGTTTATGAAGCTAAAAACCAAATATACGTAATGGTTACCAGAATGGAGAACCCTGTCACCTAACATCAGCTAAGTGCGCAACGCATTCAGCTCAGATTTACTGAGTGCCTGTCACCTCGTCTTTGGTTTAATCACATGTCCCCCTGCGGCTGCTCTTGTTTCATCTGACACCAAAGGAGACTCAGGCTGCTAAGTGATTCGACTAAGGAGACACCTGAACTAGGACGTAGTTAAGAGGGTTTCAAGCTGGGTCTTCTTTCTTGCTTTGCCATAGATTGGCACGTGGTAGATGCGCCCTGAGACGTTAAGTCCAGTTCCGTCTGCTGGCTTTGGCCACCCATCTCCCCTGCGCTAACGTGCTCCAGCAGGTGAGGCCGTTAGAGTCGCAGGGAAGTGAGTACACACGCAGGCCACACTCCACAGGGTCGCTACCAGAAGACCCCCTTGGTCCACTATCCCACACCACCACTGAGGCTGCGTCCCGACGTGTGGCCCTCACTCAAGATGGCGGCGCCGGCGTCAGCAGCCCCCTGCCCTTCTCCATCATGGCGGCGGCAGGACCCGCCTCCCTAGGCGCCGGAGTCATGTGACCCACACAATGGCTGCGCGCCTACTCCAGGCCTCCCGGCAACGCCGAACGGAAGCCATGACGCCCGCCGCGGGTTCGGCGGGCCGCGCCGCGGTGCCCCTGCTGCTGTGCGCGCTGCTGGTACCCGGCGGCGCGTACGTGCTGGACGACTCCGACGGGCTGGGCCGGGAGTTCGATGGCATCGGCGCGGTCAGCGGCGGCGGGGTGAGCGGCGGGCGGTGGGATGCGCCGGCGTTGCCGGGGGGCGCCCCACAAGCCCCCGCGGCGCAGCCTGGCGTTTCGACGCTCTCCCGTCGCGGCCCGGCTCCGGGCAGCTGTCCCTGGGCCGGAGGTCCGGGCGCCTACAGGGTTGGAACCGGAGCTTGCTCGTTTTAGACGAACCCCTATGTAGAGACAGTTTTAATAGACGAGGATCCGGAGGTGTCGTGTGTGTAGTGTAAGTGACAGGTGTAGATGGTGGCAAGGCTAGGGCTCGCACCATCACTCTCGTCTCAGCCTGGGCTTCCTGGGCCGCGGAGAGGGCATTCCTGAGGGTCGCTCCAGAAATGTCCAGGGATGCGGGAGCATCTGTCTTTCCAAAAGGATCCCTCAGTGCGGATCGGGGAGTCGGACAGGGTACAACTGACTAACTTCAGAGGGGCCATTGCACAGTATGTTATTGTTTGGAGGCAAGACAGGTGCCTTAAGGCCTTTTTAGGAAGGTAAGAGGCCAGTCTGAGACTGTCGTTTTTAATGCCAGGCTATTCAAGTATCAAATGGTAGTCTAGGATTGTTTACTGTTGGTGGGCTTTGTTTCTTGGCAGTGGTCAAGGGCCAAGGTGGGGCGAGTTGCCCTCTGGAAAAGTCTGCCTGTGCGTCCCATTAGTGGCTGTTTTTGTGTGCAGGGAGGGGAAAACGTTGGGTCAACAGCCAAGGTGGCTTGCCACCTTAAGAGTGTATAAGAATCACCTGGTATGCTTATGAAAGTGTACTTCCCATTCTGACTGTAGTTCTGGATTGGGACCTGAGAATGTGCATTTCAACCAATACACCAGTTGATTCTCATACTAGGTATTAAGAGACCTTTTCCTTTGAAGCAAATTTAACTTTAGAATAGTTTTAGATTCACAGAAGTTTCCAAAGCAGCCATTTTTTGTTATCAGCATCCCACATGAGTACGGAACATGTGTTACAACCAGAATTGATGACATGAAAATCTATATTTTATATTTGCTTATTTGTTTCCTGATGCCCATTTTCTGTTCCAGGATCCCATCCAGAATGTCACCTGTATTTACTTGTGATGTCTTAATCCTTTCTGGGCTGTGACAGTTGGGTTGGGTTCATGTTACCCAGGTGTCCCGTAAGACTTCTGTGAAGGGAGACTGGGCCATTCCAGCTTTGTGTAAAATTGTGCGGGCACAGTGGGCAATTGTCTGAGTTCCCTGGTCCTGCCGACAGGCGGCCTCTTGGCCTGGGAGCTTTAGTAGCATGATTGTTCTTGGCTCTGACAAAATTTCTGTCACATGCCCTTTGTAACCCTTTTCATGTCTTTGTTTTATTCTCTTCCACTGTAGCCCAAATCGCAGCTAGCGCTGATTTTATTGGATAACGTTAAGGCCTAACTCTTCAATGGGTTGTTTGTTGGGTGGAGTCAGATGGAGCGTGTATATCCAGACACCGTTCAGAACTAGCTTGACTGCTTGCTTGCTGAATGGTTGTTTTGTGCTGACAATCAGTCTTGTGACCAGACTTTCCTTATGGCTCTTTTTTTTGGTTGTAAGAGAAGATGTCCTCGGCAATAATCATCAAGAAACTTCGGAGGAAATAAAAAGGGAGGGGGGGGTTATTGTTCACAGATTTTGGCAAGCACGTGGCACACCGGGGCCACACAGCAAGATTCCGGGTGGGGGCCGCCTGGGTGTCTCAGTCGTTGAGCTTCCAACTCTTGATTTCGGCTCCCGAACCATGAGATCGAGCCCCTAGTTGGGCCCTGAGCTGACAGCATGGAGCCTCTTGGGATTTTCTCTCTGCCCTTCCCTCTCATGTGGGCATGTGTGTGCTCTCACTCGCAGGCACACTCTCTCTCTCAGAAATAAACTTAAAAAAAAAAAAAAGATTGTGGGGGAAGAGAGAGAGAGAGAGAACACCTGAGGTCTGCTTTTATCGTGGGCTCACTCATTGGTGAATTTAAAACTTAAGAGCGAGAATTTAAAGTACAAGAAGAGAAAGAACAAGCAGTCTACATGATCAGTTACTGAAATCAACCAAGATCTTTAATGTTTTTTATTACTGAGAGAGTGAGAGAGAGACGGAGTATCAGCGGGGGAGGGGCGCAGAGAGAGAGGCATACACAGAATTTGAAGCAGGCTCCAGACTCTGAGCTTTCAGCAAAGAGGCCAACGCAGGGCATGAAGCCAGGAGCCGGGAGATTATGGCCTGAGCCGAAGTTGGACACGGATCAACTGAGCCACCCATGTGCCCCTCCACCAAGATCTTTAAAACAAGATGGCTGCCGCCACCACACCCCATAGTCTGAGTCTTTATCTAGATATGTGGCTGGCAGTGTATTTATTTGAAATCGCCATCTTTGAAGAGGATGCCCTTAGACACTTGCATTCCAAAAAAGAAAAACTGTCAGGGGGTGCATTGCGATCCACCTAAAGTTGGACACTTAACTGACTAAGCCACCCAGGTGCTCCCAAGAAAACTGTCCTTTTAGCAGACGAAAGAAAATTGAGCTTTAGTTTTCAGAAGTACTCTATTTATTAAAGCTTATTGAAAAAATCTTTATAATAAATTATTTCATTTTTAGCTAACTTGTCTACACATGGTAAAATTCTCTCTCCTCTTACTCTTTTCCCCCTGCTGTCTATATCCATTTAGTTTGTGTATGTTAGGAATAAATTACTTTCATTTGCCTTAACCAAAATGCATCTCTCTATCTCATATCTTTTTTAGCTAAAATACATGCTACTTTCCTTGCCTAGAGATGTTTCCCTTATTTCTTATATTTTTAATTACATATATTAGTTAGAAGTCTTAACTCTTAGAAATTTTAATGTTTAGTGAAAACTACTAAGTCAGCAATTGTGAGCTGTTTACTAGCCAATATACATTATACTGGCAAATTAATACATTTCATAGTTTCAGAGGCATATGCCTTTTAAAAAAAAATAACAGTTTTCATTATAGCACAGGGCATGTTTACTAACAAATCCAAATATCTTTAGCTTCTCTGTTATGAGAAATCAAAAGTAGATAAGTCTGTTCGGTATTTAATGTTTCAATATTTTATATTTGGCAGTGATCTATATAGTAAATGAATTTGCATCATTGAACTTAACTTGCAAAACTCTAAGGTTTTAAGATACCAAAAAGATTAGTGTAACTATTTTTAAGTACACATCCCATAAAACATAATTGTTGAAAAGTAGATGCCTTGGCAATCGAAGCCTGAGTCAGATATTTGCTTTATAAAAAAAAAAAAAGCACACTCTTGGGGCTTACACTAGAATGGATAACCTGGTCTGTAGTTGATCACAGATCTGACCTGCTTTGCAGGTTAGGTGGGTTGGGGGCAGGACCTTTTCCCTAATTCAACTTACTCTTCTTGATTTTTATGCTTTTATTTTCTGAAGTTACAACCTTACTCTAAGGTGCTGGGGCATATTTGAGGGTAAACTGAACAATGGGCCAATGTGTGTGTCCCTTACTACAACCATCTTTCTTTTTGTGGTTTAAACCTAAAACAGCCAGTATTTCAATAAATGGGGACCATCAGTCTTAGTATCTCGTGGCATTAAATGGAGTGTTTAAACTTGCTGGAAAATGGAGATCTTTGGTTATTTTATATTTATTAACTCAGTTTAAAATTATTAAAATGAGAAGAATAGTTACATAATTCAGAGTAGGAAACTCTCATACATTCAATAGTGTCCGTGTGTGTAGTGAGGTGCTCATCTTAGATGCTTAATAATTATTGATTAGATGAAAATGGTTGCAGCACGATATTTGCACACCACTTTAAACTTCTGGGTGGAGTCCCTGGTACAAAGACCAGTTTGTGGCAGTAGTGTTTGGAATGTTCTCCTTTAATATTCAGATCTGCTAGGGAAGGCGGTTTGGGGCAGTAGTTAAGAGCGTGGGTGTAAGGCGTACCTGGGTGTCTCAGTTGGTTAAGTGTCTGACTTCCGTTTAGGTCATGATCTCACAATTTACGAGTTTGAGCCTGATGGAGGAGGGCTCTGTCCTGACAGCCCAGAGGCTACTTTGTATTCTCCCACTCCCTCTCTCACTGCCCATTTCCTGCTCTCTCTCTGTGTCTCTCAAAAATAAATAAATAAACATTAAAAAAAAAAAAAAAAAGCATGGGTTTAAAAGCAAATTGACAGGGGTCTGTTCTGGGCCCTGCCATTCACTGTACAGCCACCGGCAGGCTATTTTACCTCTCAGGGTCTCAGTTTCTTTTCTGGGGAGACTGATACCTGGTGGAGCCTTGTGAAGATAGATATACAGTGCTTAGGGTGACATCCGGCACGTGGTTATTTCGTCAGTATCATCCTGTTTGATCAGACCCAACTGAGGAAGTTATCCCAGGGATTTTACATGAAAAACTTAACTTGGGTTATAAAATGTCTCAATATATTGAGAACTTACCCTATGTCAGCTATGTTCTAAGGCTTCTTCCTGGGCTGCTTGTAAACAGCTCCAGGGCTTTTTTTCAGGGACTGTGATTGGTAATTTGTTAATCTGTTATTCTTTGATGGTGCATTTCAACATTTGGCTATACTGCTCTGAACCCACTGTTGCCATTGACTGACACTTTTGTGTTGAGAATGACAGAGGCTTGCAGTCGCATAATGACCTGGTGTGTTTGCTTACAGTTGGCACACTCTGTGTTAAGGATAGGATTGCATAAAGGGCAAAATAACCCCCAAATGGGTTATTTAAAAAATTTTTTTTAATGTTTGTTTTTGAGAGAGCAATAGACAATGAGGGAGAGACAGAGACAGGGAGACACAGAATTCAAAATAGGCTCCAGGCTCTGAGCTGTCAGCACAGAGACCAATGCAGGGCTTGAACTCAAGGACTGAGATCATGACCTGAGCCGAAGTTGGACGCGTAACCAACTGAGCCTCTCAGGTGCCACCCACCCACCCCCGCCCCCCGCCCCCAGAACACACCACTCTCATGACATCATTCAGGGTGGGAAACGTTTACCTCTGATCAAGGATAGGTTATTGTGCATAGACAGTGTTCATTCACTTAAAGAGGAGCTACTTTAATACTTGAGGCTCCACCGTTCTGTAAGCTCTTTGGGAACAGTGACTGTATTTTTAAAAACATTTTGTATAATGCTGATCATTTATTGAGAGCTTACTGTATGCCAGCTACTGTGCTGTGTCCTTTATATACATTTTATTTTAGCCTTAGAACAGCTAAAGGAGTTCTAAGGAGTATGATAGCCTGCTTTACAACAGTGTGCCCTTGGTCACATAGCTTGTAAGTGATGAGGTCAGGATGCAGGCTTCCTTTGACTCAAAGCTGCCTATATTCTGTTGCCTGTCCCAGTGCAACAAGCAGTACCATAAAAGATGTTAAATAAATGTTTGCTGAATAAGAGAATAAATGGGGATATGAGCTTGAGTAAAACATAGCCCCTGTCCTCAAGAAACTCAGGGGAGACAAAGAAGTATGGCCGTGAGTAGGGGGCCAGGTTAGAAGAGTTATGGTAGAGATGTAGACCTGAAGCCAGAGATGCACCTACATCAGACCAGTGGGGAGGGACAGAGGGGGGCCTTCCCTGAGGAGGATGAATGGAATTGGCTGAATGAGGGCGTAGAATTCATTCCAGACAGAAGAAAGAGAAGTGGTTTGGTCTCTCTAGATAGAAGACATGAGAGTGGTACTAGGTAAAGTGTCACGAGTTACGATCCAAATAATTAAGGGATCTGGGTATAAAACTGAGAATTTGAACTTTATCCTGAAAGCTCTTGGTGGAGGGGACGTCTTGGCAGGTTTAAACGGAGTACATTCATGGTTAGACTTGCATTTTGGGAAGATTATTCTGGCTAGTGGTGTGGAAGCTAGAATACAGGGAGGCAGATGGGAGGCCCTGAGAACATTTAGGCTCTTGTCGTGACTGAGGGGTCCCGGATGAAGGAAATAGGGTTGCAGTGAGGGATGGATTGGAGCGATATTAAGGAGCTCTTGGTGACTGAAGATGAATGGGAAATTGGTGAAAGGGTGACCCTAAGTTTATGGTTTAGGCATATGGTTTAGGCACATGTTGCTCTTTACTAAGATAACAAACACAGGAGAAGGAACAGGCTAAGGAAAAAGTGCTATGTTTGGTTGGGGAGGTGTTGAACTTGAAGTGAGTAGAGGGTAGCTCCATGGGTCTGTGTCTCAGTGGCAGGGGCTGGGGAAATGATGGGTGTGAGGGAGACAGATGAAAAGTGCCACTAGGAGGTCAGTGGTAACACACATGAGAGCAGAACAGGACGTCGAGTATAAAAGTATCTTGCCCTTGGTGTTAGCGGTTTGAACCTGGAGCCTGTTTGGCTTCCAAGCCTACGGACATGCTGCTATTTCATGTTAAAACTTATGTCTTTTATTCCGCTTATGTGTATTGCTCCCCAAAAGATACATTATGGGTCCACTGCTGGGTTTGTGACAGCTTTGTTGGTGCAGTCATTGGTCATGGGTTAGACGTGATCAAGTGTTCATCCCCACAGCTGCCACCTCTATCTTTCCATATCTTCTGATGCAGGTTTTGTGTGATGTTTCCTTAGTACCCCTTGGCCTGGGAATTGTGTGATCATTTGTAACAGGAATGGCACTTATACATCTCTAGTAAAGATGGGGAGAGTATCGGTTCCTTTCAGCATTGCTGCTTAATTTCCTGCAAGATGTTGAGGGGACAAAATTACCTGTTATTGATCCTTTCCATCCTGGCCCTCAGATATTGTAGTTGACAAATGCTCTTATGATGGAAAACCAAGGGACTCCTGGGTGTCTCAGTCCAACTCCTGATTTCAGCTCAGGTCGTGATCCCAGGGTTGTGGGATCAAGCCTTGAATCAGGCCCTGCGCTGGGCCTGGAGCCTGCTTAAGATTCTCTCTCCCCTGACCCCCACTCTGCCCCTCTCTCCTGCGTGCGCTCTCTCTCTTGTTCTCTTTCTCTCTCTGAAGCAGATAAATAAGTAAATAAATGATAGAGAACCTAAGTTTCTAAAGTTTCATTTCTTTTTTTTTTTTAATTTGTTTTTATTTCTGAGAGAGAGAGAGAGAGAGAGAGAGCGAGAGCGTGAGCATGGGAAGGTCAGAGAGAGAGGGAGATATAGAATCTGAAACAGGCTTCAGGCCCTGAGCTGGCTGTCAGCACAAAGCCCGACATGGGGCTCGAACCCATGAACCGTGAGATCATGATCTGAGCCGAAGTCGGCTGCTTAACCAACTGAGCCACCCAGGTGCCCCTAAGTTTCATTTCCTCTAATAACCACTCTCTGAGTTAAGTTCCTCAAGACAAATTTGTAGTCATGAGGTTCATCAATAGAATTAGTTAGCTTACTTCCCAACACCCTCATCTCAGTAGAAGAGAAACATGCTGTGACTTCGAATTTGCGTTTTAGCTGTTGGACAAATGACAGCCCTATTCACCCAGTGATGGGCAAAGTAAAGACAGGTATACAAGTAACCTGGGAAATGATTTTCCGCAGCTCACCTTTACCCAAGAGCTGGCTAAATATGGACATTCCAGGTGGCCCACATGAGCCCTGTGGAAACACGTGCATGATTGGATTTGTTTGGTTCACACTTTTGAACTTTTTTTTTTTAGGCAACCTCCCGACTTCTAGTAAATTACCCGGAGCCCTATCGTTCTCAAATATTGGATTATCTCTTTAAGGTAATGAAAAAAGTAATTATTTAATGGTACCTGTGAGATTTTTGAAGCTATGGTGAATTTTTTTTTTTTAGGTTATTTTTTTTAACATTTTTATTTGTTTATTCTTTTTTTTTTTGCAAATAGTTTATTGTCAAGTTGGTTTCCATATAACACCCAGTGCTCATCCCCACAAGTGCCCTCCTCTGTGCCCATCTCCTCCCTTCCCCCCTCCCCCCCCCCATCAGTCCTCAGGTTGTTCTCGGCATTCAAGAGTCTCTCATGGTTTGCCTCCCTCCCTCTCCCCCACTATATGGTGAATTTCAGCGGGAGAATTGGTTGCCCTTCACATTTCTAGCTTTAAAAAACAAACGGAAAATTAATTTTGGAATAACTGGCTGTTGATTCAAAGTTGGTTTTCTCATCCATAAAACCAAAGGCAGTCATTAGTCACTGTTGTGTTTGTCCTTCATGCCGTGAATCAGGGTTAACACTCCTCCTTCTTTTCCCAGCCAAACTTCGGTGCCTCGCTGCATATTCTAAAAGTGGAGATAGGCGGTGATGGGCAGACAACAGGTAGGAGACTTGGGGGGAAGCAGGTTTGTTTTCCTTCAGCACTTTAATCTCTACCTAACCTCCAGGACTGTGAATCAGAGTGTAAATGATGCCAACATTTTTTATGTTGACTGTTGCTGAGTAGATTCATATTGTTCCTTTTTGAGTCTACTTCAAAAAATATTATATCAAAATACTTTTCCCATAAAGAGGCATTTGGACTTTAGATTGCTCATTTGGTTGAATTAATTGGTAGTAAACAAAACCACAATTTTTAAAAAGCTATATTCACTAGGCAGATCATAGAGATGGGCTTTTCTTGAGAAATTAAAGAAAACTTTGAATGTAAAAAGCGTGTAAAATGTTATTATGTTATTAGCTTTAAATAAAATATTTGGCAAAAATATAGGTCTTCAGTATTTCAGAGATGCAGCTTTTTTCTCTTAAAAACAAAATAATTTTTGCCATCAAATTTTCAATCTTCACTGTCACCATTTTGATTGACTTTATGTAGAACATGTAGTCAGTTAATGTACAGGAAGAAGAAAATTCGCCCAGTGATTTTGCAGCTTGCTTTTTCCAGGCCAGATTCCACTGTAGTGAACTTTACAGTTTTGTCTCCATACACGTGGTCCTGTTGGTGACTCAGGAGTAACTTTTGTTAAAGAGATATATCTTTGTTGTGGCGCTAGTGTTTAATTAATATAGAAAGAAAAAAACTGCAAATCACAAACAAAAGAAACCTCTATAACAGACTCCCCAAGTTTTTGTAAGAGGACATGTATTTTTTGTCCGCCCTTTGATGCAGAATTGAGAATGACTGGCCATCTTCGTCTGCTGAAGCGAACTTCTTCAGGTAGTTCTTAGAAATTCTGATGTTTCTCTTTAAGAGGCAAGGCCCCCTCCATGTGAGGCCCTTCCTAACAAGGGCAGATGTTTGTAAACTGTGACATGTGAGGACAGATACCAGGACATCAGTTATCTACCTTGACACACTATGGAGGTTAGAGTAGAATATTCCTACAGAGGGGATGTGTAGATGTATACTCATTCCTTTTTTTTTTCACTCAGAGCTCTGTTGTGTTGGTATAACAAGGCGTGTTATAGGCTTGAGGCCTCGGCAGTGAGAATGGGGCTTAGGAGCTCAAGATTCTCGGGATTGAGAAGTTAAAAGCCGAGGTGATCTGAACGCAGAGTTGGACGTGGAGACTTGAAAACTGCAGAGAGACCAGAGCAAAAGCCCAGGAGAATGTAATCATAGGACCCTTCAGTTACATGAGTCCATAGCACTTCTCTTAACACTGCTTATCACAGAAAGTTGTGGTTTTATTTCTCAAGACCGAACGATACTTAGAGTAATGAAAAAAGATGAAATAATATGCTTTGATCACTCGTTGTCAAGTTATCTAAGATTTTTCTTATTTGCCCCATATCAGCATTAGAACCGGAATACATCTTCTCTGAAATATGTATGTGATTAGGGGACAGGGGCCCTAGCAAACACCTTATTAAAGGGTGGTTTCCTTTCTCTTTTGTTCTCTCCCACACAGATGGCACTGAACCCTCCCACATGCACTATGCATTAGACGAAAACTATTTCCGAGGATATGAGTGGTGGTTAATGAAGGAAGCTAAGAAGCGGAACCCTAATATTATACTCATGGGTAAGGAGTGAAGTTTGCAATGCTTTTGCAGTCTGTTTAACTTTCAGATTCTGAATTTTTTACATGGAGTTACTGTTAATACTGAAGTACTAATAATGTTAACACTTCCATTGTCCTACCAGCAGCAAAGCCTGTACCAGGCTTGATCCTTTCTTTGCCCTTATATTTTATATCTGTTCTCTACATGTAATACCTCTGGAGTAGAGCATACTACTCTTCCCATTTCACAGAAGCAGTAGGGGCTTAGAGAGGTGATGCCACTGACTTAAGGTCAGATAATCAGTAAATGCCAAATTCAGATATAGGACCTAATTCTCTTCTGGTGGTTTTTGTGATGCTAAACTATTTTCCTCAACAAAATTTCTCATCAACATTTATGAAAGGGCAATACTATTTAGAAAATTGTAATTAGGTACCATAGTACATCCCAACTTTGTGAACTTATGTGTTACATGCAGTAGCAGATGCCGTTTCTAGAAGAGGTGCACATAAAAGTGTGTTTCAAACTTCCACGATGTGGTGGGAGCTGTTCTAGGCACTGGGGATACCTGACAGTCCGGCCCCCAACTCTGTCCTTTCAGAGCTTAAGCTCTGGCGGCAGCTTCACTGGATGATTTCTCAACTCTTTCTACTGTATTCACTTTACAGTTTTCGTGTAGCCGTGAATACACCCGTAGATATTGCAGAACACACAGTGATGACATACTTCCATCGTTTGAAATGAATTTGATTTTTTGAAGCAGGCTTATATATTCAGTGTGAGTGAGATCGATGAGAACCCATTTTATAGGCTTGATCTCAAGTCATTTTCAAAATCATTTTCAACAATCAAAGGACAAGCCTGAGTTTTTCTAAATAAAACAAAACAAAACAAAAAAAAAAAAAAGAGGAGTCAGTGTGTTCTTTCTAAATGGCGTTTTGTAAGAGATTCCAGAAATGTTGTGAGCAGTAGAAAAAAGAAGCCTCGTTGACTTCAGCACATACTCACCCACTGGGCCGCTTTCATGGTCAGTTCTCGATTGAATGTAGACATTCCAGCATGCTGAACCAATTCTAACAAAGACTTACACATGGTGGGCCTTTAGAATGTATTTGGCATTTCATTGTTTTAAAATGTTCCAGTATTTTAATGTCACATGTCTTATGGGATTCACACTTAGGCATTCATTCCTCCTGAGTTTAGAAACATAAGCATTTTGTTCTTTTGGTTTTGAATTTTTTCAGTGGTGTGAATTAGATTAGTAATATATATTAACAGTTGAGAGTTTTAACAGTTGAGCTTATTAACAAAATTAGGATTTAGAGTTGTAATTAGTGCTCCTCTACTATTCTCATTTTCTTACTGAAAAATAATAATTAGGGTGTTGGAAGAATGTGGGTTATTTGATCTATATCATCCCACAAAGGGGTATTTTCCTGTTGAGACTTTGGCATTTATATTGATAGGAGAACAAACTAGTTTTGCTGAATTTAATTATCTGACTAGTTAGTGTATCAAGGAACCTTAAGTTTTAAGAAGATGTACTAGTAAAAGAGGAATTATACTTAACCCATAGGAGTAGTGAAGCATAAGCCTTTCAGAAGAACTCCTTGATTTGACTTCAGAGGAAAGAAATTGCATATTAAATATCCGTATAGCAGGCGGTAGGCATGTTGAGTTACATTTCTTTCTATGGGTGAGTATCTTCAAGAGAGTGTTTGTGTTCTTATTTCTTTTTCTTGAAAGAGCAATTGGAACTTTGGAACCTGATTCTAGGGCTCAGGAAGGAGTTGCTGAGTTCATACACTGGAAAGGATTTTGAGAATACATGCATGGTATATAATCTTTCCTCTAGTAAGATCTGCATTGGCTTTTTGGTTAGCCTGTGTTCTTTTTGGTTTCTTTTGCCTTGTTTTGGATGGTCGCCAGCACTGTAATACCCACCCTACCTTTACCTTTTGCTTCCTGCAGGGTTGCCGTGGTCATTCCCTGGATGGCTGGGAAAAGGTTTCAACTGGCCTTACGTCAGTCTTCAGCTGACTGCCTACTATGTCATGACCTGGATTGTGGGCGCCAAGCATTATCATGATTTGGACATTGATTATATTGGGGTTAGTAATGTATTTAAACCTTGGTTAACGTTTGGACTTTATTTGAAATTTCTTAAAGCGGTTTGATTCTGTGGCATTTTGTTGACTGGCCGTTTTGTGGTCATGAGACTAATCTGTTCCGTTGGCATCTGATAACAAATTAAGTATGTGACCTTTCATTTCTCCTCTTTTCCATCCAAATTCGAGCCCCTTTTGAAAACTGTACTAAGTGTATACATTCTCTGAACTACCATTTCTTTTTACTTTTGATTTTGGTACCACTCCAGCCCCAGTTCTCCTTCTTGAAAGCTTTCCCTTTTTCTCTCATTGCACAAAAACACCACGTTTACCATGCAGTTAATGATTGCTCTCACTTTGCTCTCCGAATCTTCTATCTTTTTAAACCCGAGGGTGGCAGACTTTTTCTTAGTGGGTCAGAGAGTAAATAGTTTAGGTTTAGTGGGTCAAAGGCAGTATTAAGGATATTATGTAGGTAATTATATAGCCATTTAAAAAGTAACCATTTAAAATTGTAAGAACCATTTTTGGGTCTTGGGTTGTAAACAGTACACATGGTGGGCTGGATTTGGCAGGCTGGCTAACATCTGCCTACCCTGTCCTAAATTGTTATTTAACACCTTGTAACGATTTGGAAAATATAAAATATGATGTCTTCCCGGCTGGTCTGTTGGCAGGCTGGAGGCACTGTACCTCCAGCCCCCTGGCACACACATGCTGCGGTCTCGTACATGTTTGCTTAGTAATGTGCCTTATGTCAAAATTGATTTTAAAAGCATTCAGCAGTCAGCACGCAATTATTGAGCTCCTACTATGTCACAGGCCCTGTGACTATTGTATTTCAGGGATGCCAAGATTAATAAGCCCTTTAAGGAGTTTAGTGAGAGAGAGAGAGAGAGAGAGAGAAACCAGGCAGAGAAACTGCGTTATCACAAGGGGAGATGGGGATAAATCAGGGGCTGTAGGGAGCCAGAAGCAAGACGACTTTGTTTTTTGTTATCTTTCTCCAAACTATAATTGAAAATTAGTTTGTATTTGAGAACATTCTTAAGTGTCAGGGTATTTTCTAACCTGTAGTGAAACTAACTGTAGGTTTGGATCTAAGCAGCATTTTATTATGGTAAAGTCACCGTTGGAAAATGTTTCTGGTAAAGAGTGGGTAATTCACATCTCTTTTAGACTCACGTGCTGCAGTGAGGGGATTACTTGATAAATACTTTCCTGTATCCCTAGAGTTAAATGAGCTACAGCGCCTAGACTCTAGGCCATCTCTGTGATTAATAGCTTTCTCAGCTGCAAAACCAAGGTCTTGGATGTTCTCTTTTAATTCTAAAACCTCATCCTTGGTGATTCTAAAGCAGCGAGAGTTGTACATCCTCATTAAGAATTTTCCTCTGTCATGGAGTGCCTGGGTGGCTTAGTCGGTTAAGCGTCCGACTTTCGCTTAGGTCATGATCTCGCGGTTCGTGGGTTCGAGCCCCGCGTCGGGCTCTGTGCTGACTGCCAGCTCAGAGCCTGGAGCCTGCTTCAGAATCTGCGTCTCCCTCTCTCTCTGACCCTCCCCTGCTCACGCTGTCTCTCTCTCTCTCTCTCCCCTAGAAATAAATAAAACATTAAAAAAAAATTAAAAAAAAATTTTTCCTCTGTCTTGTAGCACATCACTGCGTGTGATCTTACGTGTGCTTAAAAAAATTACTTCTACAATGTACCTATAATGCTTGGCTTTAGGTGTGCTGGTGTCTTGTAAGAATTATTGCAGCACTCCCCATGTCTGTTAGGCTCCAGCACCTAATTTAGTCCCTGGCACACATTACATTGTCAGTATTTGTTGAATGATTGAATGGGTATTCTAGTTTTAGAAATCACTGGAATAAGTGACTTTTTGAAAAAATATCCACCAGATATTCAAGGTTTTAAAAACTGTTTTAATTTTAAAAATTATGTTGTCTTATAACATGTCTATATATTCAAGGACAGGACATTCCATAAAGTAAGAAAAATTGCTTTTTAAGACTTTATAAACTTTTTTAATACATATTTTTGAGAGGGGTGGAGAATGGGGCAGAGAGAGCAGGAGACACAGAATCTGAAGCAGGATCCAGGCTCTGAGCTGTCAGCACAGAGCCCGATGCAGGGCTCAAAACTCATGAACTGTGAGATCATGACCTGAGCCGAAGTCAGAGGCTTAACTGACTGAGCCACCCAGGCGCCCCAGAACACAATGGCTTTTTAGATTATGTTAAAGATGATGAGAGCAGTGGTGTCTGAATGATAATGCCCACTTTCTGACATTTCACTTTCAATTCAGACTTTTTGTCTTTCTGTTTTGCAGATTTGGAATGAGAGGTCATTTGACATCAGTTATATCAAGGTGTGTACAACTTCAAATCTTTTTATCTTAAAGTTATTAGTAAAGAATCCCCTTGCAGTTCTATGGAAATTAGTAGTAGGAGTGCTGTAGTTTTTACAGCACGGATACTTGTTTTGCTAGTTGTGACATAAAATTTAAGCAAAAATGTAGTCATGTTTAAATTCCTGATTAAAGCATCTGTAATTCCCTGTGAACCCCAAGTTTCATCATCTAAAGAGTTGTGTTGAATTTTCCCATTTTGAAATTTATTATTTGTAGAATTATGATAATCATTATAAAAACAACAGCATCATTTTAGGACTTAAAGAAATGTAGCTCCCCCCCCCCCCCCCGTTTTCAACTGAGCAAAGAAGGCAAAGATGGAAAAGAACAAAGCCCTTTATTCCTTTATTTGGGGTCTTGGAGTTGTATCACAGGGAGGACAGACTGGAGAAACCAGAAGAGTGTCTTGCTCATGTGGGGAAAGCAAGGAGTTCTTCTGGGAAAGAAGGAACGGGTGATTACATGATATAGATAAAGAAGAGAAAACTGCTAATTTGGTGCTGACCCGGTGAGCTACTTTTGAGGACTGTGTCACTGATTACTTAATTGGTGCCGTTACAAACAAAACTGTCCCTAGAAGGTATGAATTAACTTTACTGGCCTCATATGATCTGAGTACCAGTTGCTCTGTTGAAATATTATGAGCACTTGCTTATAAAACTATTGGCACTTCTGACCCAGTTCAAGGAAAGTGGAGCTTGAATGTGGGGTCTTTTATGTCCAAAAATTTTATATAGTTCCACATCTGGTATCAAAACTTCTATTACTCAGTCTCATTATTATTTTCTTTGGAATGCCTATTATACTGGAAAGTTCTATATGTTTCTGTCTGTGATTAGCAAATAGATGGCACCTAACATTTGCAAAGTATGTTATTTCCTGAGTCACTTTTCCTAAATATTTACCTCCATTTAATTCTCATTCCCTTCCATACAAGGTAACTACTATGATCGCTATTTTTCAGGAAAGGAAAAACAGAATAATGACCCCTCTGTCACTGGGAAATTAATGACAATTTAACTTTTCAGGTGGATCTTCTCTAGTTTACTTTTTAGTTCCATTTGTTCGTGTTTCCTCTAAGAAACACAATTTTGGGGTTATATTTTGTTTTCGTTAAAAAAAATTCTTTAAGTATTTTATGTCTCTAAGCAAGTTAATACCCACTCAACTCCTTTCATTGATTCCACCAGCAAGCATTGACTCAACGCCAGGTTTGTCAGGCATTCCCTATGTATTTGGAAGATAAAGACACAAAAAATACTGTCGCTGCCCGAGAGGAGCTCATGCTTGGGGACTGTGGAGTCCCACGTGGACACTTGAAATCTCAGTCCTAAGTTCTCTAGAAGAATAATGCCCAGGCAGGGCTGTCAGAAGGCACAGAGAGGAGATGACATTCCGCCTGGGTGGATTAGGGAACGCTATTAAAGGAGGTGACCTGGAGTTGGAATCTTCAAGATGGGATGGATAGGAAGTCCCCTTGTTGCTAGGGGAGGGGTAGGACATCGCAAAGAAGTGAAGATTGAGAGTAAAGGGATTTGGGGGAAGAGCAGGGATGGAAGATGGAGTAGACAAGCTGAGGACTCTGAGCCTCCCGCAGGCCAGTGTGTTCACTGGGGCAATGGTGCACATTAATCTGTAGCCATGGGGTTTGATGGTGTGGCTTGTAGCCAGGGACCGTAACTCAGGGTCAATTCCAGGTTGCAGGCGTTATCGGCGTAGTGGTGAAAGCGTGGTGGAGGGGGTGTTGTGGGGTTATGGGAGGCGGGGCAGGGGAACTAGTATAAGATGGGAGGTCAGCTCAGCTTCAGCTCAGTAGTTGAAAGTTGTGGCTTCTGTGAGCACAGGGCTGACGAGAGCAGCAGGAGCCTGGAGTGGAAGGCAAGTTAGTGCTTGGGTCCTGTGTGACCCTGCGATTGGAACAGCCTCATGGCCGGGTCTTAGTAGTGAAGGTGAGGAACTCTGTGTCTACCCAGGTTTGACATTTCACAGCTTATATTTTTTTTCCTTGGGACTATATGTGTGTCTCTCTCGTGTCCATTTCATATGAAGGAAGCATTAGGAACGTTAGAATCTGGTTTCCTTCTTCTTTTAAACTAATGACCTGCAGCTCTACTGGTGGTTATATTTATTTATTTTACTATTAAGGGTCTGTTGTGGATTTCATTAAAGTCAGAGGAAAATCCCTCTGAAACATTTTTACCTCTTTCTTTTTCTTTTTGTGTTCCCACCAAGTAAGTTATCTTAATGATAATGCTTTTATTTTCCAAAGGAGGCATGTTTCTATTGAGAAATACTATTGACACTAAGATACGTCAGCTATTGTGGTTGTAATTCAACAGCTGTAAACTCATTTGTAAACGGCTCTGCATTATGTTTATCTTCCCAAAAGGTGTTAAGAAGGATGCTGAACTATCAAGGTCTCAATCAAGTGAAAATCATAGCAAGTGACAATCTCTGGGAGCCCATTTCTGCTTCTATGTTGCTCGACCCTGAGCTCTTGAAGGTGATTGATGTTATAGGGTAAGGACGGTTTTGCTTTGAAAGCTTAACGGTTTCTGATTGCCTGACTGTGCCTTTGTTTTTGCTTTTTCTTCTCACTTGATTACATTTCCAGAGGTAGATTTCTTGTATTTACTAAACCATGTATAACTGATATTTCATTCCTTTTTCTTTGAAATGTATGTACAGTTGACCCTTGAACAGCTTAGGTATGAGCTCAGCCAATCAGCTTATGTGTGGAATTTTTATGATACTGTGAATTTGTTTTCTTTTTCATATGATTTTCTTAACAGCATTTTCTTTTCTCTAGCTTACTGTAAGAATACAGTGTATAGTACACAGATCATACAAAATATGTGTTTATTGACTATTTATGTTATTGGTCTTCTGGCCAACGGTCTATGAGGAGTTAAATTTTAAGGGAGCCAAAGATTATACTGAGATTTTTCAAATGCATGTGGGGGGCAACATATTGCTCAAGGGTCAGCTGTACTTTGGGATCTTTCTGTGACAATAAAGCGTATTGGTACTTTACCAAAATTGTGTTCACCTTTAAAGTAATGAAGCATGGCTTTCTTTAAATTAAGGGGCAGGGTAGTTTTTAAATTTTAGAAATGACAAATGCAAGACTTCTTGTGGTTGGAGTTCTTCCAGGAATGAACACTTATGTAAATGGTATTGCATGAGCCCTGACCATGGCCCTTGTCATGTTTCCTTAGCACTAAGGGTGGCTTTGACCCTGCTTCTTAGTCCAGCTCTGCCATTCAGTCCACTGGGTCTTGGCCTTCCAAGCAGTAATTTGTTCCAGCAGTAATTTGTTCTCTGTCTCGTTTATTTTTTCCAGTCTTATTTAGAAATAATTGATGTACATCACTGTGTAAGTTTAAGGTGTATGGCATGATAATTTACATATATGTGAGATGATTACAAAGGTTTAGTTAACATTCATCATCTCATATAGATACAGTGACAAGGAAAAAAAAATCCTTATGATGAGTGCTCTTAGGATGTAGTTAGTTAACAATGACTGTGTATCACATGCAGTGTTAATTATACTCATCATACTGTATATTACATTCCCACTTCTTATTTATAACTAGAATTTGGTACCTGTTGACCACCTTCCTGCAATTCCCCCCCTACCCTGGACCTAGCAGTATTTTTTTAAGCGAATTTGAAATTTTGTCTGTCATAAAAACGTTTACAAACCTTTGAAAAATAGAATAGACATATGTGTGAAATTTGTTCTTTGGTGTAAAGACTGCTTGATTGACGTATCTTTTCTTTTTAAAGGAGAACTTTGAATGTACACAAAGTAGGCAGAATAATATAATGAACATCCGTGTTCCCATCCCTCAGCCTCCATAACAGTGACCCTATGCCTGTATGTGGAACGGATCCACATACCCATCCGTTCTGTTACCTGAACCTGGGTTCGCCCCTTGGTGGCAGTGGAGCCAACAGACACAACCGAGGCAAAGAATTGGGAAAGGAAGGGATTTACTTGCAACAAGTGAAGGAGAACGTGGGGACGCTGCCCTGAGCAGTGTCTCCTGGAGCAGTAAGACTGGGGGGTGTAGGCTAAGGGTGTGTACATACTCACGAAGGGACTTGTACCACAGTGCATTCAGCATGGAACGGGGGCAGAAGTCATCTTAAGGGGACAGAGTCCAGGTCACAAAGGTCAGCATCACCACTTCTGGGTATCTGAGTGCTCAAAAACGGCTTAGATTCTGCAAAGATAAGCTGAAGAATGTGCGTCAGGTCAGTATTTTTGAGCCAGCGCTGGGAGATTTGCCACTGATTCACCGTCCCCAGTGCGATTAGGTTATCTCCTGGTGTGATGGTGGCTATCTGTTCTTACATTTTTTTGTTCCTTTAAAATTGTTATCTACTGGCATCTATTGTTCTTCAATTTCAACACATCTCAGGAAGTTCTGCAAGTTTAACAGGCTCTGGGCAAGTAGTGCTGGTTGCATAGATCACAAGATGGGGGTCTAGGATGACTTGCCTTATGTCAAGAAAAATTGTCTCACCTTTCTTTTTCCAGGGACCCCAGCTCTTTCCATGTACAGTTCCTCTCTTCCTTTCCCCACATTATTTTGAAGCAGATCCCACACACATTGTTATTTCTTCCATACAGATCTTCACATGTATCTTTAAAGATTTCTTTTTCTTTTTACCTAAATAACACCACTGTTAAACCTAAAAGTGTCATCGTGTTTTGATATTATCAAATATCTGTTTTTGTTATTTTAGTTTTATTTGATTGAATCTGGATCCAACTTGGATTCATACGCTGTGACTGGTTGCTATTTAAGTCTCTTCTAATTTTTCGGTTCCTGCCCCATCTCTTTATTCGTCTTCATTTGTCAAAGAAGCTGGATTGTGTGTCCTGTAAAGTTCCTCACAGCCTGGATTTAATGGTTTCATCCTTGCAGTTTGGTTTAACCTGACCGTCTGTCCTGTTTCTTGTCAGAAATTGATAGAGGCATGATTAGGTTAGATTGAGGCTCTTTTTTTTTGTTTGTTTGTTTGGCAAGAAAAGTAAGATGTATTTAAACATTTCATACATTGAAATTAGAATATAATTTTTGCTCTTATTGTTAAAACTTTCATAAATAGCTGAAGTGTTGAGAGGAAAGGAAGTTGTATTGACTTTGAATATATTTGGCTAAGAAAAATATTTAAATGAAGATATGGGTTTTACTATATCTTCATAAATAAGTTGGATGTTTAATTCATTTTTATCTTTATTGATGTGGGTTTCTTTTTTTTAACTTTTAAAAAAATGTTTGTTTTGGAGAGAATCAGAGTAAGAGCAGGGGAGGAGCAGAGAGAGAGAGGGAGACACAGAATCTGAAGCAGGCTCCAGGCTCTGAGCTGTCAGCACAGAGCCTGACACGGGGGTTGAACTCAAGAAATGGTGAGATCATGACCTGAGCCGAAGTTGGATGCCCAGCTGACTGAGCCACCCAGGCGCCCCTATTGATGTGGGTTTCTAATGCTGCAAAAACTCCTTTGAGCAGTGCTTTCTCGGATTTATTATTTTCTAACTTTATTGCACTGTGGTCTTTAACGCTGCATGTATTCTTAAATGTTTTTTCCCAAAAACATTCTCAGGAACTGCCTTCTGTTTTATTATATTAGGATGTATTCCCTATCGGTATATGAGTTGAGTGTATATTATCTATCTTATCAACCTCACTGACTACATTGTTTAGATATTCTGTATGCTGATTATTTTGTTCACTTGAACCATCCAGGGTTGCCAGGAGTGTTAGTTTCCTCTCTCTAGTGGTTTTCAGTTTCATGAAGTTTATGCTTATGAAAGTGACTGCTGTGTTATTTGGCATCTAGGTATTAATAAATGTCTTATCTCCATTCTGGTTTGTAACAGTTGACCTTAGAAAATGTCATTCTTTGTGGTGCCTGGTTGGCTTAGTAGGAAAAACATGCGACTCTTGATCTTGAAGTCATGAATTTCAGCCCCACTTTGGGTATAGAGATTAAAAAAAAAAAAGGAAAATGTCATTCTTTGCTTCATTATGCTTCTTGGATTGAATTTTGCTTTGCCCGTGACTAATAGAACTCTGCTTACTTTTCATTTATATTTGCCTGATCTCTTTGCCCATACTTTCATCCTTTACCTTTTGAGGTCATTCTATGTTAGGTGTGTTGCTTGCATTATAGTGTAGATTTAGATTTTGCTTTTCTCGCTGCCCTAAAATATCTTTAGAGTTTAATGAATGAGTTAAACTCATTTATATTTATTGATGTAACTGAAGGTTTTGTTTTCTCTCCTGCTACATTGTCTTTTGTTATTTAATTATTTTTACTATATATGCATACTAATATAAAATCTTGCTCTGTGATTTGTTTTCTTTGCACTTTAAAAATGTTTATTTATTTATTTTTTTGGTGGGGGGGTAGGGGAATAGAGAGGGGGAGAGCGAATCCCAAGCAGGCTCTGAGTTAGCACGGAGCCCAATGCAGGGCTCCATCTCACGAACCACTGGATCATGTCCTGAGCCAAAATCAAGAATTGGATGCTTAGCCGACTGAGCCACCCACACCCCCCTTCTTTGCTCTTTTTGAAGGTGGTTTCTCTTTTGTTATTTACTAAGGTTTGACTTTTGGTTCTATTGATTGCATTTATAAACTGATATTTTTATACCAGTGGGTCTCAGCTGGGGATAATTTTGTCTCCCAGGGTACATTTGGTAATGTCTGGAAATGTTTTTGATTGGTACTGGCATGATAGGCGGAGGCCACAGATGTTTCTAAGTATCCTCCCAAGCACTGGGTAAGTTTCCCACTGCAAAGAATTATCCAGCCAAATGTCAGTAGTGCTGAAGTCGAGAAACTGTTTATACTTCCCCTTTTCTTTACTATTCTACTTAGTTATTACGTATGGTTTACTAGACACAATGGGAAAATTATTTCATAACTTCCTCTTTCTCCCTTCTCACTCCCACAGTGGAATTTTAATTACCAGAATTTCTTAATCTTTGGACTCCTAAATAAGCTTAAGCTTAAGTAAGATCCCGCTCCATGGCTTTGATTGCGCATTTAGATCTTGTTTGCATATTACCTTTGTTCCATATTTCTCTGAAACCATTGTTATCTCTTTATTTTGGCTTGATTCTCTGTAATTCTATTCTTGCCATTCTTTCCTTATTGTGTTTTCCATTTCTGTTCTATCTTGTGTTCCTTTTTCTAAAATGGATTTTTTATAATTATGCTACAGTTCTCTCACTTTAGTCTCATATACCTCTGTTGTCCAATAACTTCATTTCTTTAAACATTTTTTAACAAAGTATAACATACACACACATGCCTACATCCATACATAAAAGTACATAAATCCTAAGAATATAGCATAATGAATTGTCACAAAGTGAGCATACCCACGTAGCCACCACCCAGGTCTAGAAATAGAAAATTATCAGTATCCAAGAAGCTCTTTCCTTAGAAATCTTCCTAATCATCAGCTTCTCCTTTGGTCCCAAAGGCAACTGCTAATGTTAGCTCTAACACCATACACAAATTTTGCCTATTTAAAAACTTTATTTAGATGGCATCTTAGAGTATCTATTATTTTGAATTGATATTTTTAAGATTAGCTCATGTTGCCAGGTATAGATGTTGTTCATTTTAATTGCTGTTTTGCATTCAGTTGTGGGAATATTCCACAATTTATCTGTCTGTTCTTTAGTAAATGGTCTTTGGATTCTTTCTAACTTTTGGCTATTGTGACATTATGAGATTTTGCTCAGGAGTTCTTGATTCTGTGGCTGCTACCTCCATAGGAAGAGTAGATTTCCCTGCCCCATTCACATTGTACTTGGCCTGCTCTATTTTTATAAAATCTAGTTTTGCAGTCATGGTGCTTTCTAGCGTAGGCTCCCGCTGGGCCCCATTCTCTCTCCTGCCTGAATGTTGTCTCTCTCTCTCACCATGGGTGTTCCTGCCTCATTCAATTTAGATTCTCACTCAAGCAGCTTATTTTCATAGCGAGGCTCTACTATTCCAGATAGAACTGTTTGCTACCTATTTCTGATATTGTTAAGAGTTTAAACCTGGATTGTCCAATATGGGCAGACACTAGCCACAGTTAGCTACAGGGCACTTGAGATGCAGCTAGTCTGAACTTAGGTGTGTGGTAAGTATAAAATAGACACTGGACTTTTAAAGCTTTGATATTTTGGGGCACCTGGGTGCCTCACTTGGTTGAACATCTGACTTTGGCTCAGGTCATGATCTCATGGTCTATGAGTTCGAGCCCCACGTCAGGCTCTGTGCCGACAGTTCAGAGACTGGAGCCTGCTTTGGATTCTGTGTCTGCGCCCCCCACCCCGCCCTTGCTGCCTCTCCCCTAATTATGCTCTCCTTCTCTCTCAAAAATAATTGAATAAACATTAAAAAAACCAAATACATGTTTTCTTTTAAAAAAGAAAGATTTGATATTTTAAAAATGTAAAATGTTATTCATAATTTTTTATGTTGTATCATAATATTTTGGATATATTGGGTTAAACAAAGTATATCATGAAAAATTCCCTTCTGCTTTTTTTTTAAAGTTTTTATTTTTTTAAATTTTTTTTATTTAAAAAAAATTTTTTTTAATTTATTTATTTCTAGGAGAGAGAGAGAGAGAGAGACAGCGTGAGCAGGGGAGGGTCAGAGAGAGAGGGAGTCATAGACGGAAACAGGCTCCAGGCTCTGAGCTGGCAGTCAGCACAGAGCCCGACGCGGGGCTCGAACCCATGAACTACGAGATCATGACCTAAGCGAAAGTTGGACGCTTAACCGGCTAAGCCACCCAGGCGCCCCCCCCTTCTGCTTTTTAAAATGCAGCTGCTACAACATTTAACCTTATGTATGTATTGCCCACCTCCTATTTCTGTTGGCTTAAAGTGTCATAGTATCGTGTTTGCATCTCTTAGTGAATTCGCTGCTTTCTATTTACCCCTAACTGAATGATGTCAGCATATGAAGGCATTCCCAGTTTCACCAGTTGCCTTCTGATGCCTCCACAGGGCATATGGTCTGCTGCTTTGGGGTCACCGTCTGCTGGTCCAGTTTCCACATTTCACCTGCTGATCCTGGGCCAGTTCTGATGCTGCAAGACTCCCGGGGATTCTCTGTCACCCAGTTTTGATGAGGACATTGTTTATGAGTTTTTCCCTTTCCCGTATCTGGTTGATCTCATTGGTTTCATGAGGAGTACTAGGGAGTTTCAGAAACTCCACCGTGATCCACCTTGTCCATAGGTCCTAATTTTCTTTTAATACAAGTGTGTTCCTCTGTTAGGATAACTTTGATTTACTTTCAAAGTAATCTTAATTTTATTTGTCATCTGAAGTTTGAAAAACCATGCTGTGAAATGACAGAGATTTTTGCTTAGTTATATACATTAAACATTTCAAAGGACCTTTGCATTTTGTTGAACTAGTGATGGGTCTGGACATTGGGAGAGACCCAGTTTTTAGTACTGTTTTTGCCCTGTTTTGCTCAGATTATTTAATAAATCATTCAGTTTTAATGTAACAGTTAACATGTTCTGAATGAGGGATTTCTATTTCTGTAACTTTAAAAGAGATGCTTTTTTCAGATTATAAAAATAATGCATGCTTATTATAGAAAATTTGGAAAATGTATAAACCTGTAAAGATGGACTTACAACTTATAATTGTAACTAACATCTAGAGATCATTAGTAACATGATAGCATATTACTTTCCAAGCTTTTACTTTTTTATATAAGTGTAATTGGGCCAGAGATACACCGAGAGCACATTTGGCAGAGGGACAACTGAATGGGCCTTAATATTATTAGCATGTGGCTGAATATCATGATCGAAGAATGAAGTCCTAGGAAATAAGAATGAATCTAAAATGTAAAACTCTGTTAAAATTATATTGTTACAAAGATTAGTAATAGATATTGTTACAAAGGTTAGTAACAGATACTGTTACAAAGGTCAGTAACAGACTTTCTGTGTTGGGCATAATAGCACCAGAAAATAATTTCTGAATCTTGTGAGGCGCTAGCTTGCTCTTGAGGTCTCTGTAGGGTATGTTTATAGTACTGAATTAGATGCGTGTTTGCATTCTACAACATCTCAGTGTGGTACCTCATCTTTCTCGAATACTTCTTTTTATGTCCCCTATTCTCTGTTACTTGTTCTTTTCTTCTTTATGAAATCCTGGAGTTTCAAATTGATGTTGTGCCATAATTCATCTTCTGGAGGTAGAATGAATTCCCAAATGAAACTTTTTCATAAAAGATTCATGACCTACGTGGAATTAAATAACTAAAAACTGAAACAAGTCTTGACAGTCATTTTTTTTAGTGTAATGAATACTATGACACCAAACTACTGAGTTATGATATAATCCTGCCCCCATTATTCTGCTCGTATTGTTATTAAATTTTAAATAAATAATTGTCTTAAAAAGTATACACTCATATCCCTAAAATTACTTAGCTAATATGCTCTCTTGTTCTTGTGTTGACTGTTAATCTCTTTCTACTTCACATTTGAGATTTCTAAATTGTTTTTATTCAGTACTCAGTAACTTCCAAAATCCTCATTAAAGTGCTATTTTACTCTTAGAATAATAAATATACATTTATACTTTGACTGACTTTTCTCAAATAGTGGAGTAAGGAAGGGGTCTGATGGGTTTCTCAACCTCTGAACTGTTGATATTTTCACTGGAGAATTCTTTGTTGTGGGGACCTGCCCTTGCATTATAGGATGTTTAGAAGCACCTCTGGCCTTTACCCACTAGATGCCAGCAGCAAATCCTGCCCGGCTCTGCTTTCTCCACCAGGCAAAACCAGCCGGGGCTAAGAACCACCGCTGCTCTGGGACAATGATTTGTAGTTTACCCAAGGGAGTTTTTTCTTTTTATTCAAGAAAGAACTCTCTGGTTTTTTGTTGTTTTTGACTTTTCATTTTTGCCTGGGAAAATACCAAGGTGTCTTTCTCTCTCTCTACTCAGAGGTAGAAGTATGGGAGGAGGTACTACTTTATATAATAGATTCATTAATCTTATTTTTAGCTTCCTTCTTACTCCTTCCTTTCTACTGTTCTGAGCTCTCTACTTCCCCTGGGAATCTGAATTCTGTCTCCATCTCATTCATCTCTTAAGAGTGTTTTAGGTTGGAGTGTCCTAGGCTGTGGCTTCCTCTGCCACCTCCATCTGTCTATGTGCTTTCATCTGTTTCTCTCATCCACTGATGATATTCCTTCCTGTTGTGCCTGTTGTTACAGGCTTATCGCATTTTAGGGCCACCTGAGACATAAGATTGAGCAGATGCTTCCGGCTGGTGTGACATCTATCCACAAGCTGCCCAGTAATTTAAAATAGAAAACACTGGTAAAGACCTGTTTTTTATTCACTCAACAAATAGATATAAGTGGCATGTTCTGCCTTTTCCCATTTCCTCCCACCCTTTCTTTTCTAGAGCTCATTATCCTGGGACCCGTACAATGAAGGACGCGAGGTTGACCAAGAAGAAGCTTTGGTCGTCTGAGGATTTTAGCACTTTAAATAACGATGTGGGTGCAGGCTGCTTGGGTCGCATACTGAATCAGAATTATATCAATGGCTACATGACCGCGTAAGTTACTGACAACTTTTCAAGGTTTTTATTTTGAAAAATTTCAAAATCACAGTAAGTAGAAGAAAAGTACCATGGGCTTCCTGTTTCACAGCCTAGATTCAGTGGTTGTAAACAGCAGCTTCATCTATACTTACATATATACCTAAGCTTGTGATTTTTTTTATATTTGAACATTGTCAATATGAATTGGATAAAGTCAGACTCACTGAGATGTAATTGATAGTAATTAATTCATGGAGTTCTGTGATTTTTGACAAGCCATATATACATTCTAATGAACAATTATAAATTGTGTATGTCATAACACTTCACCCCTAAACATTTTAGCCTGTGGCCCCAAGACATAAAGGATATTCTCCTACATGATCACTATATCACATTTATACATAAGAGCATAAGAGCACTGTCAAAATATTTCAAATACTTCATCTATATTAAAATTTTCCCAGTTGTTCCCCAAAGTGTCATTCATAGCTTTGTTTTTTAAAAAAAGCTGAGAGCAAATCAAGCACGCATTGCATTTAGATGTCATGCTCCTACAATCTTTTTGAATACAGAATGGTTTCCTTCCTTACCTATTTTTCATGACAGCAGCCCTTTTGAAAAGACCAGGCAAGTGACCTTGTGGACTGTCCACTTCCCACTTGCCTGATTTATTCCTCAAGGCATCGTCTAACTTGCGTAACTGTGTGTTTACAAAACAGAGGTTCTTGGGGTGCCCTGAGGGCTCAGTCGGTTAAATGTCAGGTCATGATCTCCCCATACTTGGATTCAGGCCCCAGTGTGAAACCTGCTTAGAGCTCTCTCTCTCTCCCCTCTCTGCCCTTCCCCAACTTGTGCATCTCTCTTTCTCTCTCAAAAATAAATAAGTAACTTAAAAAAAAAAAAAAAACCAAAGAGCAAAACAGATGTTTTTTTTTTCTTTTTCTTTTTAATAGTTTATTGTCAAGTTGGTTTCCATATAACACCCAGTGCTCATCCCAACAAGTGCCCTCCTCCTCCATGCCCATCACCCCCCTTTCCCCTCTCCCCCACCCCCATCAGCTCTCAGTTTGTTCTAGGTATTCAAGAGTCTCTCATGGTTTGCCTCCCTCCCTCTCCCCAATTATTTTTTCCCCTTCTCCTCCCCCATGGTAAGAGGTTCTTAGAACTAAAGAAACTCTGTTTCTCAGGGAAACCTTTCTTTCTGTCTGTCTGTCTGTCTGTCTGTCTTTCTGTCTTTCTTTCTTAACATTTTTATTTTTTCTGAGAGAGAGAGAGACAGCATGAGCAGGGGAGGGTCAGAGAGAGAGGGAGATACAGAATCTGAAACAGACTCCAGACTCTGAGCTAGCTGTCAGCACAGAGCCCAACGCGGGGCTTGAACCCAATAACCGTGAGATCATGACCTGAGCTGAAGTCAGAGGCTTAACTCACTGAGCCACCTGGGCACCCCAGGGAAGCATTTCTTAAATGCTTTGAGAAGCTTTAACTGTGATTAGATTCAAATTTGCTCTCTAAAACCATAATAAACAGAACAAAAGTAAGCCAATACATATTCTTGTGATGCTAATATATTGTCCTTACAGCCTTTGTTCTTTTTCTTCTCTTTTTAAAAGAAAAGATGCTTATGGAGAGTTTGGTTCTAATAACTTAATTTGGTATTAAGAGTAATGCCCGCTCATGACAGAGAATTTAGTAACTGCATATAAATACAAAGGAGGAGGCAAAATCACCCATATTTTTGCCATCCAGAGGTAACCATCCTTAAAAATTTTGGTGTATGTCCTCCCATTTATATGAATAAGATTTTAATACAGGTTGAGACCATACTGTATAATATTTAGTACATAAGATGCTTTTTACTTAACAGGGAATTATGAACTCTTTTTTTCATGTTTAAGTATACTCTTGTTTCATCATTTTTAATGCTTATGTATATTCTGTTACACAGAGCATGGTTTCCTGAACATGTCTGCAGAAGCATCTGAGACACTTGTGGGTTTTTTTAAAATGATTTTTTTTTATTTTTGAGAGAGAGAGAGAGAGAGCGAGCGAGCATGAACACAAGCAGGGGAGGGGAAGAGAGAGAGAGAGGGAGACACAGAATCCGAAGCAGGCTCCAGGTTCCAAGCTGTCAACACCGAGCCTGATGTGGGGCTCTAACTCACAACTCTGAGAACATGACCTGAGCCGAAGTGGATCACTTAACCAACTGAGCCACCCAGGCACCAGGCCCGACCACCGCACCCCCCCCTGCCGCCCAGACACTGGTTACACTGGTTCCTTGGCTGGTGCCCAGATCTACTGAATCATAACCTCTCTAGAAGTCTCTGGAGACTGATTTGGTATCGTTAGTGCCACAGCTGATTCTGAAACCACAGGAGTTTGGGAAGCACTGATGTGGAAAATATACCTCATTGAATATTCTCTTTCAGAAATGGAAGTTGTCTCTACTATAAGTTAACAGATTTGTACACATTGAAACAATCAGTTGTATACAGATATCATTGTACACATCTGTAATTATTTCATTAGGGTGTATTCCTAGAAATGGAACAAATATCTGGGTCAGGGGTATTTAGATTTTGAAGACTTTTTTGTATGTAACAAAATGCTCTTCAGATAGTTTGCTTGGGTTCATACATCTATCACCAGCCAGAGAAGATAATCTGGTAATCCATGAGTAAAGTCATGGCAACTCTTGACATTTTCACTGATAGTAAGGATTTTTGAAAATTGGAGCTATTATTTCTACTTCCTGTTGGCAGAATTAGGAGGCTTTGATTTCCTAAGAATGTCAGTCTGTCATTTTATGACCGATGAGGGCTTGGTAAGAAAAGTGAAATTCTGTGGGTAAGCTCTGGTTTTTGATTTTAGCTGTGAGGAACCTGGCAGTACCTGGGTCTAGGGCTTCCCTGAGAACCACAGAGTTACACTTTCAGGGTTCAGTACCAACCAATAATAGGCATCTGAAGGAATGGGCCAAAATACAGTCCGGCAAGCTGATCCATTACCACTTGTAGATGAGACAGAGTCTAGCAGTAGTAGAGCTGAGACCTTGCTCTGTATGCCTCATATGCATTAGTACAGTGACTCCTCACAATAATCACATGAGCTAGGTCTACTGATTATCCCCATTTTACAGATGAGGAAACTGAGGTCCAGAGAGATTAAGTGGTGGAACCATAATTTGAAGTCAGACAGTCTGACTCTAAAAATTCTCAATTGTAAAGCTTTGTAGCAGCTCAGAGTGAAGTTCATAAAATTATATCATGAAACTGAGGCATTAAGAAGGCCGTCAAAAGGAAAGCAGTTATGGATGAAGCCTTTATTTGTATTTGACTCAAATTTGTGACATGTCTCATGCTGATAGGGTATGATTCATCTTCTGGCTTCATCACCGTTCAGTAAAAATTACACGCCCATATATACTTGAGCTTTTTAATTATGTGATTCCCCATGAAAAATACCTAGATGGATCCAACACTGGATTTTTCAAAATATGAATGAATCTACGTGACTTCTGTTTTCTTGTTTTGGGTGGGTAGTTTTTGGTTCTTTACATATATTTATATAAATTCTGATAAGGTGTTTTTATGACAGTCTTCTAGACCTTTACATTTTGATCACAAGCTCTTTTGGTATTTCTCTTTTATCAAACAAACCTTTTAGCACAATTGCTTGGAATTTGGTGGCGAGTTACTATGAACAGTTGCCTTACGGACGATGTGGATTGATGACCGCTCAGGAACCGTGGAGTGGACACTATGAGGTAGAGCCTCCTGTCTGGGTGGCAGGTATGGTTCAGAGTCCATTTCATCCTTCCCAAATTTCTTTCTAGGGAGGCAAAGCAGAAATCAGAAGAGCATATACAAACTGTGTATGTGTGTGTGTGTGAGTTCTTAAGTTTGTGTCTCTGTTTTAAGCAAGATTTGCCACAATGTTTTATAATATCTTTTAACTAGACCACTTTCTCTATTTCATTCTTGATTATCCTAAGACTAGGCTCTTAGAAAAGAAAGGGAAAGAGGGAAGAGAAGAGGGAAAAGAATTATTGTCTCGTGATGGAGACAACACATTAAATAGTTGATAAATATGTAATTATAAATTGTGATAATTGCTAATATATGATGTATTTGTAAAGATTTATTGTAACTGAAGAGCATCTAAAAGTCCTAAAATTAGTCTTAGAGACATTTTATTGTTTTGTATTAATATAGTTTTGTTGATAAGAATAGTGTGCTAACAAAATCGAATTATTAAATGCATAATTAAGTGTGAAAGCTATGTGAAATATTGTGGCTTTATACTGATGAATACTGTTACAGATAATTTTAATAAAAATGTAAAATCATGACTCTCATGTACATAAAAATGAGCACATGTTAAAGATTTTGTATTACTCATGATATATAGGAAGCAGACAGATGAATCTACCATTTCAAAGGCAAAAATCAAAACAGTACAAACTTATTTAGAGTAAAAGAATTTGAGATAAATTGAAATTGAGGGAAGATTAGGTTTCCCATAACAGGGAGGGGGGGAGGAAATCAATTAAATCCTTATCAAATAGGACATAATTTACACATCCATCAGTTACCTACAGTTTACAAGGAGTTTCAAAATAGTTTAAAGATAACAGGGCTGCAGAAACAAACTTTTGTTACAGCTATCAGTCATTAGTCACAAGGGACATTGAGATCATGCCGACAATGGATGACATTGTACCACTTTTTCATGAATGATGTAACCATACTAAAAATGAGTATAATTTAAACAGAATAAAAATCCTGTTGAATAATATTCAAGTTCTTTCCATAATTTTTTTTGGTAAAATGAAACATGACCATTTTGTTTTAACATCGTAACTATAGTCTTTTTTTTTTTTTAAATCCAGTTTTCAAAGGCAGAATGCTTTCATGGGAAAATTCTGAATTTGGACTGAATTTGTTTTCATTTTAAACCTCTATTTTGGAGATTTTATTTTTTACTTGATGGGTTTTCCTTAGATTTGCTGTCATGACATTAATCATGAAATCATGATTTTATTTCTAAACTCTAAATTGTACTTCCAAAAATGCGGAAAAGTTAAGTTGGACTTGGATGTCACCATTAGTTAACCCCTTAAGTGTTATAATCATTGGTCTCACATTTTCTAGATGAACTAATGTAGTCTTCTAATATTGTCATTGTCTTTTGGGGGTTGCTCAGTACACTTGCAGGGCCAGCTTTAGAGGTACCCAATAAATATGTATCGTGCAGTGCTTGAAACCATAAAGCTTATTCGTTTTTGAAATGCAGTATTAATTTTTTAACCTTATTTTTTTGTAGTTATATTACGATGGGTTAAATAGAGATGAACAAAGTTCAGAAAGAATAACTTTATCTTACTCTTGGAAAAAAAGACTTAATATTCTTAAATTGACAGTGTCGTCCACTTATTTTTACCATAATTCTAACTACAGTTATTCTTACTACAATTGTACCATTTAACTGGACTAATTAGTCAAAAGTTGAAACATGAGGTTAGCAAGTATTTTCCTCTAAAATAGTAAATAGCTTGTTAGACTCAATCAGACTCAAGTCAGTAGACAGCTTTATTTTTTGATTTATTTATTTAATGAAAAAAATTTTTTAATGTTCATTTTTGAGAGAGAGACATAGCACCAGCAGGGCAGGGTCAGAGAGAGAGGGGGACATAGAATCTGAAGCAAGGTCCAGGCTCTGGGCTGTCAACATGGAGTCCAGAGCGGAAACTGCAAGATCATGACCTGAGCTGAAGTCAGATGCTTAACTGACTGAGCCACCCAGGTGTCCCTATTTTCTATTTTTTAAAAGAAACCCTCTCATTACTGTTTTTATCTTACTGGATCTTTCTCTGCTTTACTATAGCTCATACCACTCAGTTTACTCAACCAGGCTGGTATTACCTGAAGACAGTTGGTCACTTAGAGAAAGGAGGAAGCTACGTGGCTCTGACTGATGGCTTAGGTAACCTCACCATCATCGTTGAAACTATGGTAATTCTTTGTTTTTAATGAGATTAACTGTCTTCCTATTGGAAAAACAGTATATAACACAACTAAACACCTTCTTTAGAGAAACAAAACCCTAGCTTTACCAAAGTGTAAGTCACATGGGATAAACAACACGTAGGGGAGGAAGAAAGCTCTTCCTATACCCTCTTAGGTTCAGAAGCCTGGACCCCCAAAATTAAACTGACACCCCCCACAGATTAACAAGAGAAAACAGAGTTTATTTGTGCGTGCACCTTGCATACGCGTGCGGGATACTTAGTGATAAGGAACTAAGAGGGGTGGTCAGAGTTTGGGCTTATATTCCTAGATTAGTAAGTAATGGATGGGGACGAAAGGGCACTTAATGGAAAATAAGTGCCTTTTTGGAAAGATAAATGGGTTTTCCGGAGAACAAGCAGGAATGACTGTGGTACCGCGTGTCCATACTGGACAGCGGTTTTTCCGCTGCCTTTAGGGCTGTAGAAGTCCTCTGCAGAAGGGACTAGGGGCAGCTGTTATTCCCATTCCTCCTTTCTGGGAGTAGATCCACCCTGAAGAGGAAGTTTTGGCAGCCTCATTTCCCAGAGGTTGCTGCTTTTAGTAAGCTGAGAGAAGCTTAGAGAAGACTTTTTTCTGGCATCTTTTGAATCTCAAATACTTTCAACTTTAAGTAATCTTTATACCAAAGTGGCAGTTTATGGTGGGATACTCTGATGCCCTTCATACACATACTTACAATGCACAATTTTGCAAGTTTTAATATGTAAATGACCAGTAAGCCGTTGTCACAATCAAGATAGAGAATGTATCTGTCAGTGCCCCAAAAGAATAGTTGTGTCACTTTATAAATACCCACTCTGTCCTGAGACTTCCCCAATCATTGCTTTTTGCCACCGTAGATTAGTTTGCATTTTCTAGAGCTGTGTATCAGTGGCATCATGCAGAATGTACTGTCTTGCTGCTTTTACTCAGCATATTTATTTTGAGATTCGTCCATGTTGTTGATACCTAAGGTAAGCAGTATTAGCTTGTTAAGAAGTATTTTGCTTATCTATTTACTTGTTGATGATGTTTGGGGTGTTTCTACTTTCTGGCTATTACACATAAAGCTGTGAACATTTGTGCACAAGTTTTATATGGACATAGATTTCTTTTGGGTAAATACATAGGAATGGGAATGGCTGAGAAATAGGGTATGTTTATGTTTAGCTTTATAGGAAGCTGCCAAACTTTTCTCCCAAGTGATTGTACCATTTTAAGTTTTCATCAGCATAACTGGAGTCCCAGTTTTTCTTTATCTTTGGGAGCAGTTGCTGTGATCAGTTTTAAAAATTTTGGCTCTTAATAGGGATGATGTATTTCAGTTTAGTTTAATTTGCATTCCCCTAATACTGATGATGTTGAGCTTTCCATGTGCTTGTGCTTCTTGTATCTTCTTTTCTTTTGCTATTTTTTATTGGCTTTTTCTTATAGTTGAATTTTGAGAGTTCTTTACGTATTTTGGATATAAGAGATATATGCTTTGTAAAGATATTTTCTCAGTCTATAGCTTTTTTTTTTTTTCATTTTGTTAACAGTGGTTTTGGAAAGAGCAGGAGTTTTTCATTACAGAGTCTACTTTTTCCATTTGTACCTTGATGGATCAAGCTCCTGGTGTGGATCTAAGACGTTTTGCATATGGGTGCACATCTCTTCTAGCACCATTTGCTCAAAAGTCTACTTTTTCTCCACTGCATTGCCTTTTCACCTTTGGGAAAAAAATCAGGTGTCCTTGTATAGATGCTATAATTCCTGGACTCTATTCTGTTTCTTTGACCTAATTATGTATTTTTACACAAGTACCATAGTTACGTGTACTCGCGTGCGTGTGTGTGTATAATTCCTAGTAGCAGGTAGTCTTAGCCCTTCAAATTTGTTCTTTTTCAAAGTTACTTTGTCTATTCTCGGTTTTGCATTTCCCTGAGAATTTTAGAATCAACTTGTCAATTTCTACCAAGAAAAAAACCAAAACCAAACAAACAAAACAACCTGGTTAGATTTTGATGGGGATTGTCTTGAATCTCCAGATTTATCTGAAGAGAACTGATATTTGAACATCAAGTCTTCTAACCCTTTAACAAGACATATCCTCAAATTTATTTAGCTTTTCTTTAATTTCTCCAAATAATATAGTTTTCAGTGTACAGGTTGGTATTTCATATCTTTTGTCAAATTTTGACTAAGCAATAATGACATTTTCAATTCAATTGTAAATAGTAATATTTAACTTTTTAATTCAATTAGTACCTAGTATATGGTAATACAGTAGATTTTTGTATAAAGATTCTGTTTTCTGCAACATCACTACATTCACCTATCATTTCAGTAGCTTTTTCTCTGGACTCCATTGGATTTTCTTTGTAAATTATCTGCAAATAGAAATAATTCTACATCTTCCTTTCCAATATGGGTATGTTTTATTTGTTTTTCTTGTCTGATTGGCCTTGCTGGAATCTCCAATACAATGTTGAATGGAAATAGTGAGAGCGGATATTCCTGGATCTCTGGAGGAAAGCACTGAGTATTTTACCAGAATGATGTTTTTCATAGATAAAATTTATCAGGATAAAGTTCACTTTTATCTTTAGTCTCTTTTAAAAAATCAGGAGTAGATATTGGATTTTGTTGAGTAGTTTTTCTATATTTATTGAAAGCATTGTATGGTTTTTCTTCTGGTTTTTTTTTTTTTTTTTTTTGGTTAGTAAAATAATTATATTAACTGATTTTTAATTGAAATTTGTTTCACATACTAAAAACAGGTTTTTTTTTTATAGTTTACTGTCAAGTTGGTTTCCATATAATACCCAGTGCTCATTCCAACAAGTGCCCTCCTCCATGCGCATCACCCCTAAGATGCAGGTTTTAAGGTATATAATTCAGTGGTTTTAGTCCATTTGCAGAGTTGTGCAACCATTACTGTTTAACTCTGTCACCCCAAAAAGTAACATCATACTCATTTGCAGTAACCCTCCACTCCCTCTTCCCACATCCCTTGGCAACCACTATTTTACTCTTTGCCTCGTAGGATTATCCTGTTTTTGATATTTCTCATAAGTGGGATTATATAATATATGACCTTTTGTATTTGGCTTCCTTCACTTAGCTTAATGTTTTTATGGTTCTATATCAGTACCTCAGTATATTTCATAATATTCCGTCTTTTGGATATATCACATTGTTTATTCATTGATCAGTTGTTGTATATTTGAGTTGTTTCCAATTTGTGGCCATTATGAATAATGCTGAGATTAACATTTATGTATGTTTTTCTGAGGACACGTGTTTTCATTTCTCTTGAGTATACATGTAGGAGTGCAGTTATTGGGTGGAATGTAACTCTGTGTTTAATGTCTTGGGGGAACTGCCAAACTGATTTTCAAAGTTGCTGTACCATTTACATTGCTACTAGCAGTAGGTGAGGTTTCCAGTTTCGCCACATCCTCACCAACACTTGTATTATTGCTGGTCTCTTTGATTATAGCCATGTTGGTGGCGTAAATTGGTATATCTTATTTTAGTTTTGATTTGTATTTTACTAGTGGCTAATGGCACCGGCAGCCTTTTATGTATGTATTGGACATTTGTATTTCTTTTTGGAGAAATGCCCACACAGACTCTGCCCATTTTTAAATTGGGATGTTTGTCTTTTTGTTTTGAAACATAAAAGTCCCTTATCAGATGTATGACTTGTAGATATTGTCTTCCGCTTGGTGGGCTGTTTTTCACTTCCTTTTTAAAAATTTAGATTTAGATTTTAAAAATTGTAGTATAGTTGACATATTAGTTGTTTTTCACTTTATTAATGGTGCCCTTTAAAATACAAAAGTTGTAAATTTTGATGAAGTTGAATATATCCATTTTTCTTTTAGTTTTGTGCTTTTTGGTGTCCTATTGAGAAATTATTGCTTAATCCAAAGACATGAAATTTATACCTATGCTTGCTTCTAAGAGTTTTATAGTTTTAGCTCTAACATTTAGGTCTTTGATCCATTTTATTTTTTAAATAGGGGGTTAGATATGTATCCAACTTCATCTTTTGCACATGGATAACTAATTGTTCTTTCACCATTTGTTGACTGTTCATTCTCTATTGAATTGTCTTGGCTCCCTTGTTGAAAATCAATTGGCAATAAATGGAGGGTTTTTTCCCTGGACTTTTAATTCCATTGCATTGGCCGATATATCTATCCTATGGGAGTATTATGCTGTCTGAATTACTGTAGCTCTATAGTATGTTTTTAAGTCAGGAAACATGAGTCCTCCAGTGGTCCCTTGCATTTCCATAGAAATTTTGGTATCAGCTTGTCAATTTTTGCAATGAGGCCTGCTTGGAATTTGATAGGGATTACATTTAGTCTGTAGATCACTTGAATGGTATTGCCAGTATGACAATATCAAATCTTCCGGTGCATGAGTATGGGATATCTTTTCATTCTTTGACATTTTTACTTCTTTGAATGATGTTTATAGTTTACAGGGTATAAATCTTGTACTTCTTCTGTTATGGTTATTATTTGAGTATTTCATTACTTCAATACGTCTGTAAATGAATTGTGTTCTTAATATCATTTTCAGATTTTTTGTTGCTAATGTATAGCAGTACAGTTGAGTTTTACATATTGATCTTGCATCCCACAAGCTTTTGTACCTTTTTTTTAGTTATAATAGTTTGTTAGTAGATTTTTGGAGGATATTCTATATGTAGGATTATGTCATCTGCAAAGAGAGATAGTTTTGCTTCTTTCTTTTCAGTATAGATGCCTTTCATTTTTCCCCTTGATTAATTGTCCTTTAGTAAATATTGAATAGAAATAGTGAGAATGTACATTCTTGTCCTGTAGCTGATCTTAGGGGAAACACTTTCAGTTTTTCACAATTAAGTGTAATGTTAGATGTGTTTTTTTTGGTAAATATTTTGTATAAGGTTGAAGAACTTCCCTTTTATTCTAGTTTGTTAGTGTTCT